CTGTGGACAGGAGGACAGAGCTGTGGAGGTGACAGAGCTGTGGACAGGAGGACAGAGCTGTGGAGGTGACAGAGCTGTGGGCAGGAGGACAGAGCTGTAGAGGTGACAGAGCTGTGGACAGGAGGACAGAGCTGTGGAGGTGACAGAGCTGTGGAGGTGACAGAGCTGTGGGCAGGAGGACAGAGCTGTGGAGGTGACAGAGCTGTGGGCAGGGGGACAGAGCTGTGGACAGGAGGACAGAGCTGTGGGTAGAAGGAGAAAGCTGTAGTAGTGTGGACATGAATAACAGCTGGTGGGACCTCCCCCGCTGCGATATATGCATCATCATATTTTAAAAACAAAAGTAACTTCTCCTCTCTAAAAATACAAATATTAAATAAAAAAGTCAAGTCATCTGTCTCAAGTCAAATTCAAGTCTCAAGTCATGAAAACCGAGTCAAAGTCAAGTCGAGTCTTTCATCAGTGTCGAGTCCCCCACCTCTGTTGTTTCAGTCTCTGTATGAACATTACAGTTAAATGATTATTTCACCATCTTTGTCGTCCTTGTTTTCTAGCTGTCTGTCTGTTTCTATCTTCCTGTAAATTGTTCTCTGAACTGTGTGTAACTTTGAGAACATAGAAAAAAAGAGCTTTATTACTGTATGGGAACACACACACACACACACACACACACACACACACAAACATACACACTTGGCTAGTAAAGCTCATTTTGACATGAGGAGAGGCAGTGTAAATAGGAAGGACGTGAAAGTAGGAAGTCAGTCTATCCAACGTACACTCAACTGAGCAGAGGAGAAAACTGTTTGAGACAAGGTGAGTGTTGATAATAAATCTGCAAATTAAAATCACTCCAATTATTGATTAATCTGCTGATTTTTTTTCTCCAAATCAATTGCTTAGTCTTTTATACTGTTACAGATATGAAATCAGCAGGCAAGAGTCTTTTCCTGTTTTTGAGTCTTTTACTCCTCACGTGACACATCAGCAGCAGAGATCAGCCACCGTCTGAACTTTGACTTGTTTGTTAGATTTAATCTGGTCAAAGTTCAACATCTTTATAACTAGAAAATACTCATGGTTTGAATAATGTAAAATAAACTTTACATACTGTGTCTGTGTCTCCAGTGCTGCTGGTTTACCTCTCACACTTGAGAAGATGAGTGAATTGGATGAAGGGGAGGACAGGTTAGGGTCTCCAGTTTCCAGCTGTCCCTCTGAGGAACTTTACACAGACATGCCTGAAGACTTCAGTTATGAGCCTGGACCGTCAGCAACAAAGTAAGAAACTGTTTTTAAGGTTCACTGACCTGAGGACGATTCAGTTCACCACTTGATAAATGTTCTCTTTCCAAAGAAGAACAAGAATAAGAAAACACTGGTGATATCCCAGATATCAGTGGGTACTAACAAAATATGAAACACCTCTGATCGTACATTGTTTCCTGTATGAGGCCCATTGTCTCTATTTATGGTGTAAATTAACATCAGGATGTAATTAGAAGAGCCACATATTTACACTACTGTTGAAAAGTTTGTAATCTGCTGCCACAGTTTGATGTGCTCCAGGTGTGAGAGGATGTCTGAATGGTCTTTGATGCTTTTAGGCTGTAAAAGTCCTCTTTATAGATAAATGTTATTTAGTATAAATGCTTTGTTTTGTACATGGAGAACAAAGTGCTGTTCAACAGTTCAACCAGACTGACAACTGACAGAGACAAAGATCCCTCTGAGCAACAGCTGAACAAGAACAGAGGAAGTCAGCAGTTACTGATTGAAGAAATTGGAAGCTGAGTGTCAGCAGCTTCCTGTTTTACTGTCAAGTGCACAATTAAGTTTACTAGTCCATACCCATTGGTAGCTTTGTCACCTTCTACCTATGCCAGTCCTCAATGCCTATGTGCAGTTTCACATAGATTGACCACGTCAGTGAGTAGAAAAACGTGGGACAGACAGAATGACTGACTGACAGAATGACACACTGACAGTTTCCGTGATTATGTACAGCATACCATACCATGACTTAGTCATACCAAACATTAGAAACAACACCAACATTGGTCCACAGGGGGAGCCACAGCGATCGGTCACATTTAGCCATTTTGAAGCATTTTTCTGTTGTTATAGCGCCACCCAGTTGCCAATTAGAGTTAAATTTCTCCAGTCACCTTGAGGCGTCCTGTTCTACATATCTACCAAGTTTAGTAAAAATCCATATGGCGGTTAGGCCTAGATAAGAAATGAGCTCTCTAGCGCCCCCATTTTGTTTGATGGGGTCAATAATGGAGGGGTCCCCTCAGATTATGTGTGGTCATATGCCTACAAAGTTGCGTGGTGATGGGTGAAACCCTTGAGATGTTATACACCTTTATGTGATGAGCCACGCCCTCCGCAATATTCATTGCCTTATAGAAGCTCAGTTTTAGTAAGTTTTCCAACTTTTGCCAAGAGGGAACTTTAGATATTGGTCCCTAGATTATGTTCACCCAGTTTCATGCAGATAGCTCAAACTTCCTAGGAAGAGATCCATTTGAAGTGTTTTTCAAAAAATTCAAAATGGCGGAAAATCTATATAAGCGGAAGTTATGGGTTGTTGAGGCAAATGTGTTCCTCATGACACACAGACAGAGTTTTCGTCATTATATAGTAAGATAATAAACTATAATTAACTTCAGCAAAGCTCTTCTTTAAACTTTGCAGTAGAAACAGACAGTTAATCACCTGTTGGCACTAATCTGCAGTTTGACTAGTACTTAAATGTATCACATAAATGTAGGGTAGGGGAAAGTGAAACATTTCTCAGATGTAATGGAGTAGAAGAGCAAAGTAGCACAACATGGAAATATTTAAGTAAAGTACAAGTACATCAAAAAAGTCCCTGAAACATGAGAAGTGTTTCCTCTTTGTTTAAACTTTTAGAATTTATTTTTGCTGTTAGATAAAAACAGCATTCTTCGTCAGCTAGTGTTGCAAACCAAACTCTGCCTAAAAATCTATCAGGTTTTATTTCTCCTCATTTACTTCTTATGAATATTATCCCTGCATCTAATTCAGTTGTTTTCTAATTCGGCTTGCTTTTACTACACTTAGCAGCACCCTGTTTCACTTAAAGGTAAAGTTTAAGCAGTAATATTTTCTGTTTGGGAAACTTGTCTTCAGTGGAATTGATCCATGCTGATTTAAAGAGTGGATTATAAAGATTAAAAAAATAAATTGTATTTTATAGTTGAGGTGTGTGTGCTTAGCTCTGAGAGAGGAAATATTAAATATTTTTGAAAGGAGTGTGGTGTGAAAGTAGAAACGCCGCACATTTGAAGAGCAAAAAAAGAATTTTACCTTTAAAGAACTGAACATAAACTTTGGTTAATGAGTAATTATGGAATTTTATAATGTGATTTTACATTATGGAGAACGGTGAAGTGAAGCTGTGGCGTAAAAAAAACATCAATAGATATAACTCAACACCCTTGGCTGTCTTCAGGTTTGTTGTGAAGACTTCTATTTTGATTATTATTTTTTTAATTAAAGGTCCAGTGTGTCAGATTCAGGGGGATTTAGTGGTGTCTAAATGTACGTTATCTTCCACCACCACTGCAAACTGCAGATTCAGACTAACAATATATATAATGAACAAATAAATTATGATGGATAAACATGAGACTTGATTGCTAACTGCAAACAAAAGCAACATATTTACCAGCCTTTGCATTAAAGTGATGAACACATTAATGCATCAGCAGTTTTATTTGATCTGAAACGGACTGTTCTGCATGATGAGTACTTTTTGTTTTTCTTGCACTTTTACCTGAGTATAAGATCTGAGTGCTTCTTCCACCACTGCAACCCTGTGTCAAATTAGTCAATTAGCTTGATGCTAACACATAATGGGAATTACCATTGATGCGCTACTGAAAATTAGCATCGTGATAATATTATCCTTACAAATGATCCATTTTTATTTCAAACATTCAACATAAAAAGAAATATGTGCTCATACTTAAAGGCATGAATTCACCACAATCTCTGGAAACAAAATAATATGACTTCTGTTTTTGTGTCCAGTTGTTATTGTTGTTTAGGATACGAATGCTCGATAGGCTCTTTGTTTTAGCCTACTTAGTACAGTTATCTCGTGTGAGGGAATGTTGCCAACTGCTGATGTTGTGAGTAACTGCAACGAATGAAATTATGATACACAGGAGGGAAGTCACAAATGTCACATGACCCACAAACTCACAGGAAGCAAAATGTGCAAAACCAGTTTCACGTGTAAAAATGGATCCACAGATGCGTAAACATGACTGTATTTGCTGTGGTGAAACTCTTCATACTTGTAAAACCTGTCATATTTTTATTTGAAATTAAAGTACGTGTTTACAGAGTAAGTTCTGCACATTTGCAAATCACGCTGTATTTTTGTGGATATGACTTTACACAACACAAATGTAAAAAGACATGTTTGTGGATTGTGAAATATTTGTGGATCACGGTACATATTTGTAGATTGTCTTGTGTGGGTTACAAATAATAAAGCTGAGTAAAAACTTCCATAGGAAACGTCCATCATGGAGGAGAAGCTCCTGGACCAACTGGTGGTACTCCCCAAGATCCAGCCTCTTTTTTAGGGTCTCATGTACCCACACAGATCTCTGTTTATCTGCTGACAGCCTCTCACCCTCAACCAGAGCTACAGACAGTACCCTCTGCCTCAACATTTTAACTGACATTTTGAACTACACACTAGTTACTGTTAAAACAGGAGGGTTAGTGTAAGGACGTGATGTGGTGGTGGTGGTGGTGGTGGTGGTGGTGATCATCATTTAATTTTAAAAAAAAGGCAGCGTGGTGCGGCTTGTGTTTTGCAACCTATTAAATGCTTCCTGTGTGATCAAGGCCAAATTCAATATTTAGAGCCTACTGTCACCATTGTGGTTCAGCAGTGATCGAATGTCACTGATGCTTTTCTGGACCAGAAACAAATTCAACATCAAGTTCACACAGTATTCTCTCCTGTCATGAGACACTGTGGGGATGTTGACTAAATGGAAGCTTAGATCATTTCATTCTTCTGCTTTTGAAATATATTTAATACATTTGGTGTCTAAATTATACTGTTCTTATATAAGTTAAAATGGAGCTGTCAAAAAAACTCAGCAATGCATGCCCTTCCTGAGGCTTTTGAAAAGAAACTGTCTGTACGAACAGCTGCTGGCGACATTCTATCGTGCTTCTATTGAGAGTACCCTGCATTACAGTCTGGTGCGCCGGCTGTACAGCAGCAGACAAAAAGGCTCTGCAGAGGATAATAAACACAGCACAAAAAAAACACTGGCTGTCCCCTTCCTTTCCTAGAAGAGGTTGCTAGCACCCGCTACCTCAGTAGAGCCTCGGCCATCATCAAAGACTGTACTCACCCAGGATACCATCTGTCCTCAGGATGATTCAAAACCAAGACAAACAGACTGAAACACAGCTTTTACCCCCACAGCAATAAGGTCTTAAGAATAAGAATGAATTCAAATACACAGGACGAACCTTTTTCTTTATGGGTATAATTACTACACTACACTTACCAGCCACTTTATGTGTAATGTTCACGATGAATCATCCTTACGTACTAAAGTTTGTTTTGGAGTTCCGCAAGGTTCTATGCTCGGACCATTCCTATTCACTCTATATATGCGTCCTTTAGGTAACATCATTAGAAATCACTCTGTAAATTTCCATTGTTATGCGGATGATACACAGTTGTATTTATTGATGAAGCCAGAAGAAAGTAATCAATTAACTAAACTTCAAAAATGCCTTAAAGACATAAAAACTTGGATGAGCACCAATTTCCTGATGTTAAATTCAGACAAAACTGAAGTTATTGTTCTTGGCCCCAAACAACTCAGAGACTCTTTATCTGATGACATAGTTTCTCTGGATGGCATTGCTCTGGCCTCTAGCACTACCGTAAGAAACCTTGGAGTAACATTTGATCAAGATTTGTCTTTCTTTTTTTTTTTTTAAAGATATTTTTTTTCAGCCTTTAATGGATAGGACAGACAAGTGTGAAGGGGGGATTAGAGAGAGGGAGTGACGTGCAGCAAAGGGCCACAGGCTGGAGTCGAACCCGGGCCGCTGCGGCAACAGCCTTGTAAATGGGGCGCCTGCTCTACCACTGAGCCACCAACGCCCCAATATTTGTCTTTTGACAGGAGCCAGAGCCTTCAGCTATCAGGCTCCTCTCCTGTGGAATCATCTTCCTGTTACGGTCCGGGAGGCAGACACCGTCTCCACATTTAAGACTAGACTTAAGACTTTCCTCTTTGATAAAGCTTATAGTTAGGGCTGGCTCAGGCTTGCCTTGTACCAGCCCCTAGTTAGGCTGACTTAGGCCTAGTCTGCCGGAGGACCCCCCTATAATACACCTTCTCTCCTTCTCTCTCCCTCTCTCTCTCTCCTCAATTTCTGAAAAGTTGGTTCTTCCTCATTTGCTAACATTGACGTCCGACTGCATCTTGCTAACTTGGCTCTACTGCATGTCACTAACTCAGCTTCTTCTCTGGAGCCTTTGTGCTCCACTGTCAGGCAGGTTACCTCGTATTGCGGCTACGCCTGGATGGTGTGTGGTGGTTGTGCTGCTGCCGTGGTCCTGCCTGATGCCTCCTACTACTGCTGTTATTATTAGTCATACTTCTACTGTTATTATACACATATGATTATTATTGTCACATACATTTACTATCATAAATTCAAATATACTTACAAAGTACTGTTCCACAATTACCGTTATTATTATTATTATAATATTATTACTTAAATTAATGTTGTTGTAAGATTTTAAGAATGCATAACTGTGACAATTACTTTGCCATGTGAGGCATTTCAAACTGGTGCTATCTGGTGGCATTATAAACTGACGCCACCCCACGGAGTATCATACTGCAACAAAAGGTACCATTCTGCATCAGCTCTAATGCTAAAATCACTGACAAAACATGTGGTTTCTGATGAGTTGGGAATGAGAACAGGCTGGTAGGGAAAGTTGCTGAGCCTCAGGTTGGTCAACACTAATGTAATGTATAATAAATAATCTGTTCATCTCCACAGAGAGGAGTGGAAGAGGAGGGATGTTTCTGTGGAGGAGCAGCCATCATCCTGTGCTTTATGTCAGGACGTCCTGAAGGATCCACTCTCTACCAGCTGCGGACACTGGTTCTGCAGTCAGTGCATCACCTTGTACTGGGACCAGTCTGCTTCATCAGGAGACTCCTTCTGTCCCCTGTGTAGTGTCAGTCAGACCAGCACTGTACAACGTAAGTCTGTACATCTGCCTTCTGATTCATTTCATTTATTCCTTTTAGACCCCTCCCCGGGGTATAAGGGGTAATGAACTTGCACTTGTATAGCGCTTTTATAATCTCCCAACCATTTTTAGCACTTTTACACTACATGTTACGCTCACCCCTTCACACACTCATTAATGCAGTGGTGGCTGATGCTACCACACAAGGTACCACCGCTCATCAGTCAAACATTCATATGCACAGTTCAGTATCTTACCAAAAAAAAAAACCCTTCAGCATGCAGACTTGATCAAACCTCCGATCTTCCCATTAGTGGATGTGTGATTCAACCTCTTGAGCCATAGCCTGATGCCATCATGTCTAAAAAGAGGGTTCTTCACATGAATCAGTCATTTATTTGTCACATGGAATTATACAAGGCGCAACCAGTGAAATGTGACCCCATCAGCTCCTTTAACTGGTGCGCTGATTTAGTCCTTTTTTGTGTCCTCTCACATTGTTGGCTGCTGCTGTATAATTGCACGTTTCCGGATGGTTCTGGCAATCTATGGTTTGTGACTATGCAATGATTTAACTGTCCACACATCCCAACCTCAACAAAAGGGCAGCATGGTCGCTCCTCATGAACACATGCAGCCACCTCTGAACCGTCTCTAGCAGTGATCGGCAGCAGGAACAGGACAGCATGTTACATTCCCACCGTCACACCAGTCCTTATTCACCATAAAGCCACAACTCCTCTCATTCTCTCACCACAGTCCTCTAGTCTGTCAGATCTGCATATAGGAAAAGAGTCACCTGGTTGATATCCTGTTGGTAACTGATGCAGCATGGAGGTCATCCAATGTATTTTCCAACACCTGTACAATGGCCAGCAGGCTGCTTGCTCAGCTGGTGCCATCTTCTCCATCTTTCATTGATATTTAGTGATGTTTACATTTGAAAACATCAACCTGGCTAGCTAGTAGGTAGCCAGCTAGAAGGGCGCCATGTCATTGTTCTGACAGCCCATTGGTCTGATGTCCCGTTGTTCCGATATGTGATTATACTAGGCTATACTGTATTTGTGTACCATAGAGGATCAGCAAATGCAACAAAAGTAGGCTACTGGTCGAGATACAAGTGTCATAGAGAGGAGAGAATGAAACACCATAACCTCCTGTTATTAACTCTGGGGTCTGGGCTGTGTGGGGAGCTCTCCACGGTGCTGAATGGCTCCCGGCGGGCGTATTTCTACCATGATGGTGCGCCACAACCAGCTCTGGGTCAGCTGGGAAAGGCTTGAGGCGAAGCAGGCTCACGGCTTATGTGTTTGCCACTTTCTTTTTCATTTTAACCCACACCATGATCTTTTCCTGACCCTAACCAAGTGGTTTTTGTGCCTAAACCTAACCAGACCTTAACCACAGGACATCGTGACTTCGGAACAATGGGTTTAATACGGTCGGAACAATGGGCTGTCGGACCAATGGGCAGACCCCGCTAGAAGTCGGCAGACAGAGTTTACTTGTGATTTGATTTCTTCATCCCAGTGAGTGACTCATAGGCACACATCACCACCGTCCCAAGCCAACCTCAAAAAGCACCATCAACACTTGCAAAATAGACAAAAGAGCATAAATTTAGCACAAATTTAGTGGAGCTGACAGAGAAGTGACTGGAAATGTCCACACCTATGTCTTGATTTATTTGTCGTCGTGTACATCACAGACTTTAAGACTTTTATGAAAATCCTAATATTTAAAACCCTTTCTATTTTTTGTTTATTGATTTATTTTCTTCACCAGATTTTGAAAACCATCTTCTTCAGTCTCACACTTTTCCTTCTCTCTCAGCAGACAGTGGTCTGCAGAAGGTTTTAGATGAACATAAGATCAGTCTGAGGAGGAGATGTGACCGTGTGACTGAGGGAACTGATGAAACAGGAAGTGAAACCCTCCTCAACAGGATCTACACTGAGCTCTACATCACAGAGGGACAGAGTGAAGAGATTAATACCCAACATGAGGTGAAGCAGCTTGAGACAGCCCACAGGATAAAGACCCTCCATGAAACTCCAATCAAGTGTCACGACATCTTTAAAGCCTTACCTGACCAACAGGGACACATCAGAGTTGTTTTGACGAACGGCGTCTCTGGCGTTGGAAAAACCTTCACAGTGCAGAAGTTCACTCTGGACTGGGCCGAGGGTTTGGAAAACCAAGATGTCAGTCTGGTGATTCCGTTTTCATTCAGGGAGCTGAACTTGATCAGAGATGAGAAGTTCAGTCTTCTCACTCTGCTCCGTGTTTTCCATCCAACATTACAGAAGGTCACAGCAGAGGAGCTCGCTGTCTGTAAAGTTCTGTTCATCTTTGACGGCCTGGATGAAAGCAGACTGTCTCTGGATTTCCACAACAATGAGGTTGTGACTGATGTCACACAGAAGTCATCAGTCAACGTGCTGTTGACAAACCTCATCGAGGGGAAGCTGCTTCCCTCGGCTCTGGTCTGGATAACTTCCCGACCTGCAGCAGCCAATCAGATCCCTCCTGCATGTGTTGACAGGGTAACAGAAGTACGAGGCTTCACTGAAGCCCAGAAGGAGGAGTACTTCAGGAAGAGAGTCAGTGATGAAGAGCAGTCCAGCAGAATAATATCACACATCAAGACATCCAGGAGCCTCCACATCATGTGTCTAATCCCAGTCTTCTGCTGGATCACTGCTACAGTTCTGGATCACATGTTGACTACAGAGCAGAGAGGAGAGCTGCCCAAGACCCTGACTGAAATGTACTCACACTTCCTGCTGGTTCAGACAAAGAGGAAGAAGAAAAAGTATGATGAGGAACATGAGACCAGTCCACAGGAGCTGACGGAGGCTGACAGGGAAGTTCTTCTGAAGCTGGGGAGGCTGGCGTTTGAACAGCTGGTGAAAGGAAACATCATGTTCTACCAAGAAGACCTGGAGCGCTGTGGTCTTAATGTCACAGAGGCCTCGGTGCACTCAGGACTTTGTACAGAGATCTTCAAAAGAGAGCGTGTGATCTTCCAGAAAACAGTCTACTGCTTTGTTCATCTGAGCGTTCAGGAGTTTCTGGCCGCAGTCTACCTGTTCCACTGTTTCACCAACAGGAAGACCGAGGTACTCAAGGACTTCCTGGGGAAAGACTGGAATAATTACCGATCCCTGGGTGACTTCTTGCGGGGTGCCATGGACAAGGACAACAGTGATGGCAGTGATCCTGATTACCCATCCCTGGATGACTTCCTGAAAACTGCCATGAAAAAATCCCTCCAAAGTAAGAACGGGCACCTGGACCTGTTTGTCCGCTTTCTCCATGGCCTCGCTCTCGAATCAAACCAGAGACTCTTAGGAGGCCTGCTGGGTCAGACAGACAACAGTCCAGAAATCATCCAGAGAGCCATCAACAACCTGAAGAAGATGAACGTGTATGAGATCTCTCCTGATAGAGGCATCAACATCTTCCACTGTATGATGGAGATGAACGACGACTCGGTACATCAGGAGATCCAAGAGTTCCTGATGTCAGGGAACAGATCAGAGAAAGAACTCTCTGTGGTCCACTGCTCAGCCCTGGCCTACATGTTACAGATGTCAGAGGAGGTTCTGGATGAATTTGACCTGAGTACGTACAACACATCAGACCAGGGACGTCTGAAACTGATTCCAGCTGTGAGGAACTGCAGAAAGGCAGTGTAAGTCCAGATGTGATTACATTTATAAATCACAGTATAATAGTAGTTGTAGTAGTAGACCTTACGTAGTGCCCTGTAGCGACTTAAATTCAACCAGAGCAAGCCGGGTTCTGATCATAGACTACCCTCTTGCTCCGAGTCCCCACCAGATCAGCACACTTAAGTCCCGTTTCCACCAAACACTTTCAGTATGGTACCTTTGGAACCAAAAGTAATCCTTCAGACATGGTACCTAGACCCTCGGTCTGTTCAGACAGTCCTCTTAAATGTGGGCAGGGTTGTTATCACTCACTGCTCCGTCCAGCACTCGCTGTATTTCCTCATCAGCGGTGACACTGCCACTAAGCCACCAACGCCCCATCAGATTAAATATTATGGTGAACGATATGATATGGCACACCCCTAATGTCCAATTTTTGTCATAAATAAACATAAAGTGCTCTCACATGTTTTGTAATAAATGTGTCGTTGCAGACTTACTGGCTGTAGACTCTCAGAGCCTCACTGTGAAGTTGTGGCCTCAGCTTTGAAGTCCAACCCCTCCCATCTGAGAGAGCTGAACCTGAGTGAGAACAAGCTGCAGGATTCAGAAGTGAAGCTGCTGTCTGCTGGACTAGAGAGTCCAAACTGTAAACTTGAGGAGCTGAGGTCAGTTCACCGACTGGGGCGTATTTTTATTTTTATTTTTTGGTATATATTGAATTCAAATCCTTGACCAAGGTTTCGCATTCATACATTTTTGGAATTTGCCTGAGCACAAAGAAATTTCAACCCTTTCAGAAACGTTCTGTCTTTCCAAACAAACCATTGATAGAGTAACAAAAAGTACAGAAATGAAATTTTAACAGGGCAGCTCAGCTTCCACACACTCAGATCGTGGACCATCAGACAGTGAACATGATGTCAATGTGAGGCTGTGTGTGAAGGATATGAATAAGGTTGTTGAAGATCTGATGATGAATTATAAATGGATTTTTATCTACATCATTGCCGGCATTATAATAAACAAAAACACAAAAACAGACTAACAAGGTCACTCCACTAATTTCAGGGAACAGCTCATTGACCAGAACACAGTTATGTTGAGCTACACATTTAAAACACGAGCAAATCTAATTGTTTCTGATAATTTAGTTTTTATCTTTATCCTTCATTCTTTATTCAGATTGTGGAGCTGCCATTTGTCAGGAAACAACTTTGCTTCTCTGGTCTCAGCCCTGAAGTCCAACCCCTCCCATCTGAGAGAGCTGGAACTGAGTGACAACCACCTGCAGGGTGCAGGAGTGAAGCTGCTGTGTGATTTTCTGGAGAGTCCACACTGCAGACTGAAGACTCTGGGGTCAGTTCAAAGACTTTCTCGTTCAATTAACAATAGAACGTAATTTATGTACAAACATAACTTACAGTAGCTACATCCATACATTTATAAATGACCTTTTGTCCATTTTTTCATTGTTCTTGTACCAAATTTAGTCTGAAGTCTCAAAAGATACCTGTGGAAGAACTGTGGAAAAGAAACTGTTGGTTGTTTAAGTAAATGTATGCATATAACTTTTGGTCACACCTGAATCCAGAAGATCAGGAGCCTGGGTCAGAAACCAGGTTTAAGAAACTCTGACTTTAACCCGGAAATCTGAGTTTAATGATCCTGAGATTGAAAACTTGCAAATTGCAATCAGACTATCAGACTTTTTTTTCACAGATTATCTGTCTTATTTAGTGCTGTGTAGATAGTGACAGTTTGGGGAATGGAAATATGCCATTGACAAGGGAAACAGGACAACCCTGACTTCCACGTCAGCCTCAGGCCCTCAGGAAAGCTGCTTAGCCTTGCAGCAAATTTTTCCCAGTGGCCATCTGCAGTATTGCAGCAAAAAAAAAAAAAATCATGTGGCCCAGAAAGCATTTTCTTTATAGGCCACCAATGTAAAAGACCAACCTGGTCTCACTCCAATGTCATTGAAATCCCGCGCTTGGTCAGTGACTTTGGGCGTCAGACACTGATGAAAATAGCGGTCCTTGTCAGCGTGATACACGACCAGTTGGCGTTAGAGTTTAAGGCACCTGGCGGCATCAGAGGGAAACGCAGCGGAACAAAATGGGAGGGGTGGTGGATGGGTCCAACGATCACCAACTTTCACCTTGGAGACTGGTGTTCCCTTCCTGTAAGATTGTAAAGCTAAACCCTGTTCTTTTTTCCTAAACCTGTTCTTTTTTCCTGTTGTTAAAGAAAAAAAAAGTCAGTTCATGGTGTTATACCGATTTATTTTGAAAGAGATTGTATGCAAACTGTACATTTCGGAACAACACAAGTGTATTTTGAAAAATGAAACAGCCAGAACTTGACACGGCGTACCAGAACATCACCAACCAACACACCCAGGGTACCTTGCACGTCGTATCTTGATGTGGAAAGTCCATGACCGAACATCGATACGCCATATACTAGGATCTGACCTAGTCTTGTTAACTATGTGTTTGACTCTGTAAGAGTTACAGTTATGGCTGAAAATGACAACAGAAACAAGTTTGCTGATTTTACATTTCTCCACAATTCAGAACATTTGCCAGTTTTCTACCAGTAAGTGACTGTTGTTGTTAGCGCGATGTCAAGGTGATTCGGTCTGTTCTCTGTCTGGAACAGAAAACTCAGAGTTTCCCTCATCTCAGGGTTAACAAACTCAAGTTTCTTAACCCAGTTTTCACTCAACCTACTTTCTAAGACAGAAAAGATGATCTGACCTAATATTTGTTTCAAATTGATAAAGTTTGCTGAAGTAGAAATATTTCCTTGGTTTCCATTAATTTCAATGTGTTTTCACAATAATAACATTGAGGTCTGATGATGATTATCCACAGTAACAAAATGACAAAGTCACTACTTGTTTTAGGGAAAAGCTCACTGATAAGGACACAGTTTTGTTGAGCTACACATTTAACACGTTAAAGATCTGATGGGATTATGAATGATGTTTTACCTACATGCTTTAATCTTTATTTAGTTTGAGATCCTGCAGTTTGTCGGAGATCGGCTTTGTTTCCGTGGCCTCAGCTCTGAAGTCCAACCCCTCCCATCTGAGAGAGCTGGACCTGAGTGACAACTACCTGAAGCATTCAGGAGTGAAGCTACTGTGTGATTTTCTGAAGAGTCCACACTGTAAACTGGAGAGTCTGGGGTCAGGTCATTGCTACTACTGTAGATCTTGTTTAATTAACAAATAAACCTCATTTATATACAAACACAACTTACATGTATAGAGTTGTACTAAGGCAAAAATCTGCTTGGCATTAAATTTGATTCTGAGATCCTGTGAATGACAAAGTGACTCTGCTCATTTTAGGGCAAAGCTCATTGATTATGGAATAGTGATTTTGAGCTACATATCTTAAAACCTGTCTGATAGGATGATAAATTATTTTTAATTTAAATCATTGATTCTTTATTCAGACTGAGTTCATGCAGTTTGTCAGCGAACAGCTGTGTTTCTCTGGCCTCAGCCCTGAAGTCCAACCCCTCCCATCTGAGAGAGCTGGACCTGAGTGACAACAACCTGACGCATTCAGGAGTGAAACTGCTGTGTGATTTTCTGAAGAGTCCACACTGTAGACTGGAGCGTCTGGGGTCAGTTCATCATTCTTTACGTCTGTCCTTGTGACGACATACAAAACATTATTAGTTATATGATTAATGTCATGTGACAAACAAATAAACAAACAAATTCTACTTCTTATTATTATTATTTAGGAAAGTTACTGTTAATTTGCACACTGTGTTAATGAAAACAGCCAACATCTACTTTTCTTTTCTTTCTTTTATCACAAGTACATTCCACATTAGCACTGAAAAGCTCATTGACCACCCTTTGATTCTGGTATCATTTAGTTTTAAATAAATTCAAGTCAACATTATTTGTGTTACACAGTGGCATGCAAAAATTTGGCCACCCCTGGTCAAAATGTGTTTACTGGGAGTAGTTAAATAAGTAAAGAATGAACTGATTTCCAAAAGGCATGAAGTTAAAGAAGACACCTTTATTCAATATTTTAAGCAAGAGAACTTCAAGAGTATTTCAGTTCTTGTTTGGAGGATTTTCACCCATTCTTCCTGCAAAAGGCTTCTAGCTCTGAGAGATTCTTGGACCGTCTTCATGCTCTGCTCTCTTAGGTCTATCCACAGATGTTTAATGATGTTTAGGTCGGGGGACTGTGAGGGTCATGGCAAAACCTTCAGCTTGCTCCTCTTGAGGTCGTCCATTGTGGATTTGGAGGTGTGTTTAGGGTCACTGTCCTGTTGTAGAAGCCATCATCTCTTCATCTACAGCTTTTTACAGATGCTGTGATGTTTGCTTCCAGAATTTGCTGGAATTTAACTGAATCCATTCTTCCCTCCACCTGTGAAATGTTCCCCGTGCCACTGGCTGCAACACAAGCCCAAAGCATCATCCATCCACCCCCCCGGGTTATCAGTTTGTCCGCCAAAGATACCTTTGCTCATTGTGTCCAAAAACAGGACTTGTTTCCAAAAAGCATCAGGCTTGTTCAGATGTTCCTTTGCAAACTTCTGTCGCTGCATTTTGTGGTGAGGACACAGCCTTTCCTAACAATGACTGTGAACAAGCCAGAGCCCTAACAAGCACATTAAGGTCTGAGACCCTGGGAAAAGTTGTCTGAGAGCTCAAATGTCTTGGGGTGCCCAAACTTTTGCACAGTGCTCCTTTTGTTTTTTCACTCTAAACTTGTTCAGAACAAAAACAATACACTGATCTTGCTTATAATGTTGAAAGTCATGTTTCATCTTTAGCTTCATGCTTTTTGGAGATCAGTTCATCTTCTACTTAATTCACCATTCAAAGTAGACAAAATTTTGACCAGAGTTGCCCAAACTTTTGCATACCACTGTATGTGGTGAAAACAACTTGGGTCATTTTTTTCCCCAGTATTAAATAACTGAGACATTCAAAATTCTTTGTCTTTCAAAACAAAAGTAGTTAGAGACCTTGGTCAAATAAAGTTGAATACTTGTGATCCAAATATAGTTTTTATGGCTCGGCACCAGTGATAGCTGTGGCTGGAGGCAACATGTTTTTGGGTTGTTCGTCCATCCAGTCATCCCAGTCTTGTAAACATGATATCCCAAGAACGCCTTGAGTGCATTTCTTCAAATTTGGCACAAACGTCTACTTTGAATCAAGTATAAACTAATTAGAATTTTGTGTTTGAGGTTTAAAGTTCAAGGTCACTGTGACCTCACAAAACATACTTGGCCATAACTCAGGAATTCATACACTGATTATAACAAAATTTCACACAAATGTTTAAAAGGATAAAATGATGATCTGATGACGTATATATATCTTAAAGGTTAGAGGTCAACTTTAGGGTTACGTCATAATATTCTGCAAAAACACTTTACTGGGCATTACTCAACATCACATCTCCGGAACAGAAGGGCATTTGGTCAGATAATGAACTGTGACACCAATCTTAGGTGTCCACCTTGAAACTGTGCTGATTGTGTAGATCTTTGTGCTGTTGGGGGGAAGATGTATGTGAAGCATCCATGTTTTTGTAGATATGGATGAAAACTGTAACTGCAGCTTGTCTGGTGCATTGAGTCATACAACCTCAAGGCACTAATTCTAGGTTTATTTTGAACATAATGTAAAATGAATGATTTACATTGAACTATAACCATTGCATGCTACAGGCAGTTTTAACACATGATTTGGTTCATGTTATGCTCAGGGCATACTGACACGTGATGTCATTTATTCTCCATTCAGACTGTGGCGCTGCCATTTGTCAGAGATCGGCTTTGTTTCTTTGGCCTCAGCTCTGGAGTCCAACCCCTTCTGTCTGAGAGAGCTGGACCTGAGTAACAACTACTTACTGGGACAAGGAGTGGAGCTACTCTCTTCTCATGTGGAGAATCCAGACTGTAGACTGGAGACTCTGAGGTCAGTAAGGACTATTGTAATAAACACAGGGATGTTTATGCTTTACTCACACTGGGGTATCCCTCCAGTTCTACCATCTAGGGGTATCCTAGCCTAGCACAACAAATAAGTGATTTTCTCCTTATCTTTCATCTCATGTTTCTTTTCTTTGTTCCACAAACAATAAACAATAAATAAAAATAAAATGCAAGCTGACAATGCAAAGCCAAGAAACATTTACAGACAGTTGCAACTTTTTAACAGAAATGTGGGATTTGACAGTTAGTAAAAAAAATTAGGTTTTTTTTTTTTTGTTTTCCTGTGATATTTTTCATATTAAGACCAATGACTAGTTATTTCCTTTAATGCAGGCTCAGAACATGAATGTCTGCAGTCAGTTGTAGTTTTTGTGGTGACGATGTGATGAGATGCAAAGCATAAGATCAGTTGACTCATGTCAGGACTCTACAGCTCACAGAACAAACATTTATTCTAAATTTAATCTATAACTGTTGGGATTGTGTTTGTCCCTACAGGATCAGTGGCAAGGTGTTCAGAGCTAAGAAGCACAAAATATGTGAGTACTGAATAATGACCCTGAGTCATCAAGCTATTAAAATCTGATCTTAGAATGAACATGTCCTCTCCATACAGCAAAATATTCCTCTTTTCCAGTTTTTTGTCAGAGTTTTTGGAAAATATTCAAGAATTTGGGCTGCTAAAGTTTCTCACCCACAGTCAAGTTTGCATTATTGTTCTCGTTCACTTCTTCTCCCCATCAGACGACTCTGATGTCAAACCTGACGTGAAAACAAACCTTGCCGAGGATGACAAAAAGGTTAGCGAGGACCAGTTGTTCAGTGTGAAGTACATTTGTTGAGGTTTCAACACCAGATAATACATAATTATTTTGTATACAAGCAAACAGGGGTCGGAGAATTGTGGCTTGTGTTCACTGAACTTTAACTGAACTTTGATTTCCATGATATCTTTGTGCCTTTCTTTTTTCCAGGCTCCATCATCTTTCTCACCCGAACACACAACTGAATCTACATACAGGTAATCCCTTTAAGGCCTTGTCTATAAGTACACAGATATTTAAAAAAAAAAAAAAAAGGATATTTTATAAACGTTTTTGTTTTCTGTCTTTTGGTGGGTTTGTCAGAGTTGTACCCAATCAGCAGCAGCATGTCTATAAACCGGATTGTGGTAGATCTTTGCCTACAGTACATACAATTTTTGTTTTTATTTCACATTTGCTTTGGCCAAGAAAATGTGTTTTCCATGTTGATAACACTTCTTTTAATTGAACTGAACCAATCCCTGCTCTATTGAAAGGCAGCATGCCTGCGTCAATCACACCTTACACTACAATCAGTTGCCCTGCACTGCAGATGAAAACCTGTCAGTGAAAACAGATCATGTGACTAAAGCCCCGTTTCCGTCAAGCAGTTCAGTTCAGTTTGGTACGCATTTTTTCTGTTTCCACTGTGAAAAGTTGTGGATGGTACCAACAGAAGCGTTCCTTAGCGTCCCCATGTTTGGTCCCCCCTCTGTTGGGGTACCTAGCACACAGATCTGGTACTAAAAGGTGGAGCTGTGAACACTGCAGTCTGATTGGTCAGTAGAGGACGGTCACTCTGCTCAGGGCTGAGTTGTGTCTGGTTTTGAGGCTCATGTAACCACTGTTCATACTGTGGAGAGTTTTATTAGTAAACTGTAACTATAAAATGAAAGGATGTTTTGCTGCCTCTCACAGCAGCTGGAGTCTGAGAAACAATAACTTCATTCACTGGGCCGACTGCCAGTGACTTTTAAGGTGGAACGTTTACTTGTAATGTTACTCAATGCATGAGTTGACAATGGAAATCCATCAGCACACCTTAAATTTCAATATGACAACTTTGACCGTTCCATCAGTTTTTCTTGTCTCTCTTGGATGACAGACACTTTTAGTAATGAGTGGATCTTCAAGTGTTTAAAAATATATATTAAGTTCTACTGGATTACGTGAACTGCATATATTCTAATTCTAATCTACTCAGAGACAAAAAAAAGTGTAGTGAGGCGTCGTTCCTGTGGGCTCCAGCAACACTAAACCCCTGAGCTTGCCTTCACCTTTCACCTTTGTTCCAAAGGTACCACACCGAAAGTATTTGGTGGAAACGGGACTTAAGTGTGCTGATCTGGCAGGGACTCAGAGCAAGAGAGTAGTCCAGGATCAGAACCCGGCGCTCTGTCTTGCTCTGGTTGAATTTAAGTTGCTACAGGGCACTGCGTAAGGTCTATCTTTACCAGGCTGCTGCTGCAAAATGGAAAAGTGACAACAATCCCGCCCACATTTAAGAGTACCATTTGCGGTGGAAACGCTAAACGGATCTAGGGTCTAGGTACCATGTCTGAAAGGTTACTCTTAGTTCCAAAGGTACCATACCAAAAGTGTTTGGTGGAAAAGCAGCCTTACAGGCTAATAAATGCTTGTCGTATTTATTCAACTCTTTTGTGTCCCACAGGTTCAGGTGTCCTGGTCCAGGTGTGTTCCAGTGTGATTTGACAGGACTGGTGTTTGTTATGGCTCAGGAGGCGGAGCTGCTGTACAGGACTGTCCAATGGGATGAGAGCCTCCTCCAGCCAGCTGGCAAGACGGCTGCAGGGCCGCTGTTTGAAATCAAGTGTTCTGAGGCTGCTGCCGTCTGTCAGCTCCACCTCCCGCACTGTGAAACAAAGGATGGTAAAGACATGGCTGTATACATAGATAGACAGATGATAAATAGGATAGAGGTGAACCCGCACATCCTTTGGAGGCTCCAGAGTTAATAACAAAAGATTGATTTCAACTTGGAACTCAAGTGGAAATTAATTAGGTTGGCCTTAACCTGTTCTTTGCTTTCACAGCGTTGCTCACTGATGGCCTGTTGTCTGTTGTCCACGTCACTGACGATGGAATGAGCATCTTGGAGCCACTGGAGATTACAGACACTCATGTGGTTGTGAAGGTCCCAAACCTCTCTGCCTTCGGTCTGGTCTGGGATTACATCACAAGGTTTCTGAACATCTCACTGCCAATAAATGGCCAAGTTCTGCTGTTCCTCCGACCTCCGTACTTAGGGCATCGAGTACTGGATGTATTTCTGCTGCAGGACAACATCCCTCTACAGGAGGTAAAGCTATTTGTCATATGTGCTCACCATCAGCCCAAACTTGAGCTCCTTTTATTGAACCTTTTTATGCTGATTTAAAAATCTAAATCAATCCGAACTGTAAATCTTCAGTTTATGCTTTCATTTTTAGTTTTTCTTTTTCTGTATTTCCGTCTGCCACTGTCATTCTTGATACTTCTTACTATTTATTCAATGTTTTCTTTTAAATTACTTACAGTATATCTTCGTAATTATGCTTTTAATTGACTGTAATTCTCACCTGTGTAAAGCATATCAGTCAGCATTTGTTATTTTTCCATCCATGCATCCATCCATCATCCATCCATCATCCATCCATCCATCCATCCATCCATCCATCCATCCATCCATCCAGGGGTATTCTTCCCAATCACCCCCCTCCAGGTTTATCTAACATTGCCCACGTGAGTACCTCAGTAGAACTATAGAGTCCCAAGATGGTATCTCTCCCAGTCACTCACTCCACTCAGAGACTTCAAGATGGCCAGGTACTCTGAACTGCTGTCTGGTGCACCACACAACAGCCAAAATCCCACACAGGTGCACCCAGCCGGGAACTTTTGAGTTTCCCCACACCTGTCCAGCCCCTCTCCAGGAGTTCAGGTCCAGTACCAGTGCTTTGTGTGAAGGTGAAACTAACCATAATTAGTTGGTACCGCTTCACCTCCCGCACCAGCTCCAGTTCCTTACCTGCCAGAGAGATGAGTTTCATATCCATAGAGTCAGTCTAAGATGCCAGGGGTCACTACGCCAAGGCTCCTGCCTTTGCCTACCATCCAACGTGCCTATTCTCTCGAGTGGTGGGCCCACAGGGCAGCGACTCCATGTAGACCAGACACACACTGGTGAGCTGCTCCCCTTCCAGGTCTGGCTCCAGGAGGGGGCCCCAGTGCTCCTTTTTTGCCGATTCATATGGGGTCTTTAAAGCACTCTTAGTCTGACACCTCCCCTGGGACCACTTTGCTTTGGGAGACCCTACCAGGAGCCTCTGTCCTGACCTCACAGCTCCCACAGGATCACAGCGACACACAAACCCCTCCACCATGATGAGGTGGCATTTCTTGGATAGAGTGTTCTTAAATGCTCTCTGTAAAAAGAATTGTCCTGACTATCTGAGCATGAACTAAACTTATAATAATGTCCTTTTACTGAAGGTTATGGACCAACAAGGAGGTGCTGAGCATATCAAGATCTCCTCCAACTGTCATCTCAGCTTTGGTCAAAGTTACAGTGTCCACTGTGAACCTGAGGGCTTCACAATACAGCCTGAGGTAAGTCAGGTCTCTTGTGCACTCCCAATGCTTTGAAACAGAATGATCATGAATACAGTATTTGGGCCGCATTTTTAAAACAGAACGAAAATGACGCGTTGCTTCTGGTTTTCAGCATGAAGCGTTTCAGTCAAGGCATGGACCAAATTTTCATCCAACATTTGAAGTTTTCCTGACGACAAACACAGACAGAGTGACTTTGATGGTGCAGGACCATGAGCGGAAAGAGGTCTGGAGACGTCACGTTTTACTGACAGGTAGACTTCACTGTTCTGCAGCAGCCCTTCAACTGATGTCAGAGGTTACACCCCAGCGATAGACCAGATTAGAAAAGATATGTGTAAGTTTCATGCACATTCAGGGACCTCCATATTTGCTTCATCTCATATTATTCTTTATTTAGCCAGTTGACATTGGGCAAGAGGTGGGGTACACCCTGGACAGGTCACCAGACTATCACAGGGCTGACACATAGAGACAGACAACCATTCACACTCACATTCACACCTACGGACAATTTAGAGTCACCAATTAACCTGCATGTCTTTGGACTGTGGGAGGAAGCTGGAGCACCTGGAGGAAACCCACGCTGACACAGGGAGAACATGCAAACTCTGCACAGGAGGGCTTGAATGTTGGGGACAACAAATATAAATTTCTCCTTTTTTTCTCACAGGATAAAACAAAAAGTGATTTACAGAGCAGATATGTTGCTGAAGGAAACTAAAACGACATTTAATTCCCGTTTAACTTTACAATTTTGTCATTTTTGAGAGATCTCTGTTTAAAAGTGATTGTTGGTTGATAAAAAAATGATCTGGATATCTTTCAGCTCCAAGAGGGGAAGTTCCACAGACAGGTGTCCTAGCAGAGGACAGTGTCCCAGCTGACGAGAAACTGTTCTCAGTTCGGACGCAGTTTCTGAACAGAGTGTCTGAACCTGTTCTGAACCAGCTTCTGGATAAACTTCTTCAGTACCGCGTGATCAATGATGCTGAAGTTCAGTCAGCCAGAATAAAAACCAGAGCAGACAAAGCACGAGATGTGATCGACACAGCAATAAGAAAGGGAGCTGAAGCCTGCTCAGTTCTGATCGCTGCTCTCCGTGAGGTGGATCCATGCCTCTCCAGAGTGCTGAACTTCAGCTGAGGCAAAAGGAATAAACTGTGGAGAGTGATGATGAGGAATCTCTATGTCAGCTGTCTGTTCTACAGTCTGACATGACTTATTTTAATACTTAATGGCTGATGAGATGACTGAGTGTATGGGTGTTGCCGACGCCAGGTTTGGTGCAACTGATGTCTATTGTGGGGTGCCTCAGGGGTCAGTGCTAGGTCCGGTTCTCTTTTCAATTTAAATGCTCCCTCTTGAGCATGTTATACACATATATAATATCAGTTTCCATTTGTATGCAGATGATACTCAGATCTATTCAAGCTGCTTGCTCTCTGGCATCAGTAAAAAAAAAAAAAAAAAAAAAAGCCTCTCGCACCTCCAGCTCATCCAAAACTCTGCTGCCAGAATCTTGACTTGGACTAAAAAACATGACCACATCACACTGATCCTGGCTTCCCTACACTGGTTACTGTTGTTTTTAGAATTTATTTTAAGACTTTATTGATTACTTACAAAGTCCTGAGAGGCCTTGCTCCAAGTTATATAACAGATCTTTTATTGCCCTATGTTCCCTCTCGCACCCTGAGATCCTCAGATGAATCTTTTCTTTTTGTTCCAAGGTCTAGATTAATTCACAAAGGTGACAGATTCTCTGCAGTCAGAGCTCAAGGAAGGACCTGCCTGAGGAGATCAAAGCTGCAAACTCAGTCTCATCTTTTAAATCACTTATGATAACCTACTTGTTTAAAATTGGCTTTTGGAGATTTAAACTGCTTTATTATTGTGTGTTTTACTGTGTTACATATATTCTGTTTTTATAGCATTTATCTTGTTTTACAGCTTTGTCTTTTATTGGGTTTTGTAAAGCACTTTGTAACTGTGTTTTGGTCTGTTGTCTCTTCCTTCTGTTGAAAAGTTACCCCGCTATATTTTTCCATGAGAACAACATCTGAGGCTGTTGGTCCATAAAAGTCATGAGATGCAGCCTTGCTCTGGTCTGTTTAACAGTGTAACACAAACCATTGTTTGCCCACCATGCTTTAGGTTTTTTATTGTTTCTCAGCGGAGAGCAATTTAAAAAATGTTGTAACAGTGAATCATGTGTCTGTGTCTTTATTATCTCAGGCTTAATATTCTCTGTATGAATACAAATATATTGATAGTGTATTTTTCAAGCAGTATGCGAGCATTTAGAAGCATAAGTATAAAAGGGAAATACTATACTAATACTATAAACAATTAAATATAAATATAATAATGATAATGATAATGAATAAACATGAATAATATAAATTCATGTGTGAGTGATAATGTGTACAGTACCCTCCCACCCTCCACCCCCAAAAACAGGGCTCCCCCAAAAGCCAATCATTTTTCGTGAGTTAGACGAACTGAAATTAAAAGTGTGGTCAAAGAACCCTTTAAAGCCAATGAAAGAGAGAACCGAGCAGGTTATGATCTTAAATGTTTGATGAAAGGAAAAACCTCAGTTAAGTATTTTCTGATTCTTCCTCGAGGACCACTATGAAAACAATTACCTTTGTGTTTTCCAGATGGCTGCTACCTTTTTTTTTTTAGTTTTGAGGAGACATGTACTTTTGTCTAAATGTAATATAGTATCTGACAAAGTCAGAAAAAGTCAACAGAATCAGAAGATGATGAAGAATTGAAGCCTTTTCGACTTGTGGACATCTTTGTGTTCATCACCCTGAGTGAGTTCATCTCTAAAATTTGCTTTGCATTCTGTCAGAAACAGAAAGTTAAAGTTTACAGTCAGGAGGCTGCATCACACATCAAACTGTCCATCCATGTAGGCTATAAAGAGAACTAGGGTTGTGAACTCGAGTCACTCGACTTGGACTTGAGCCAGACTTCAGTCACAAATTAGATGACTTAAGACTTGACAAAATGAAAAAAGACATTTTACTCTGGATTTACATAAAGACAATGTGGTTAAATCTCAAAGGAAGGAGAAGAGGAGGAGACGAAGAGGGGAGAAAGGGACAAAATGTGTCAATGTGTAGTTCTTTGTTTTAGCCACTAGATGGCGACACTTAACTGGCAGACAAAAAAGATGCAGCTGTGGCAGCTAGAACTTGACGAGAAACGGGACCACTTTGGAAATAAATAAGACAAGCAAATCTGCTTACTGCAGCAATCTGCAGGGTTAGAGAAAAGGTCACAGTTGCAGAAGCCAAAAGATGAGGAACAATAGCTGTATAGGCTGACTGAAGGTGATTCACACCTGCCTAAACAAACCACACTGAGGGGGCGAACAAACTTGAATTCGATTAAACCGAACCAAACAGGACAGGTGTGAAAACACCCTGGGATTCCAGACACAGCTTAAATCGAGTGAGTGACTGCTCATGCTGCTGGAGCACCAATTTGCACTGTCATGTCTTTCTTCAAGAGGTTCCAAAGCAAAAAAGAAAGAAAGCTGACTTTGTAAAGCAAGAAAACAATAAATAAAAAAACTTACAAGATGTGTCAGAGAGACATGGATCATGGCTTGGGAAGGGAAGGGCGGGGGACCGACAGAGACTGCTTATGCTTAGGACCTAAAATTTGCTGCTGTGCCCCTGCATGCCTCCCTTGCGTTTGTCTCATCAATTTTGGCACTCATTAAAAAGCAGATGTTTAAGAGGGAGGCGTGTAAGGATGTGACTGGGCCAGCCCAGTGTCAATTAAGAAAACAACTATGGGTCGATATACATGTTTTATGAACCAGTCAGACAAAAAAAGAATGGAAAAGAGAGACAGTAGTCCATCCATCCATCCATCCATCCATCCATCCATCCATCCATCCAGGCGTCCCTCTTCCCAGCAAAGCTTTCCAGCTCCTCCTGGGGGACCCCAAGGTGTTTCCAGGCTAGATGAAATATGCAATTACTCAAGTGTGTTCAAGGACTGCCCAAGGGCCTCCTACTACTGGGATGTGCCCAGGGGATCCTAGTGAGATGCCCAAACCACCTCAACTGACCCCTTTTGACACGAAGGAGCAGCAGCTCTACTCCAAGCTCACTCCGGGTGTCCGAGCTCCTCCCCCTATCTCGAAAGCTGAGCCCAGACACCTCACGGAGGAACCTCATTTCGACTGCTTGTATCCGCGATCTCATTCTTCCTGTCACTACCCAGAGCTCATGACCATAGGTGAGGGTTGGGACGTAGATGGACCAGTAAACTGAAAGCTTCGCCTTCTGGCTCAGCACCCTCTTCAACACGACGGTCCGATGCAGCGCCTGCATCACTGCAGACGCTGTGCCAAACCACCGATTTATCTCACTCGTGAACAAGACCCTGAGATACTTGAACTCCCTCCCTTGGGTCAGTAACTCCCTCCCAACCCGGAGAGGGCAATCCATCGGTTTCCGGCAGAGAACCATGGCCTCAGATTTGGAGGTACTGACTCATCCTGACTGCTTTACAGTCGGCTGCAAACTGCCCCAGTGCATGCTGGAGGTGGTGATTATAGTTTAACGGCGCCTGGCAGCATCAGGGGGAAACACCGTGGGAAAAGGACGAAACTTAAGATGGCAAAAGTCAGAATGGGGCAGGCAGGAGCGGATGGTGGATGGGTCCAACAAACATTGACTTTCACCCGAGAGAGGGGTGTTCACATCCCGTAAGACTGTAAAGCCAAAACTTGTTCTTTTTTCCTAAACCCAACCATGTGTGTTTGCTGTTGAAGGAAAAACTTGGCAGTGCTGTACTGACGTAGTGCTTTTATTTTGAAAGAGACTGTATGTTAACGTTAAATTTTTACTGTGCAAACAGAAGTGTATTTTGAAAGAAGACAATGCATGTAACAGGCAGAACTTGAGACAGTGTCCCAGTACGTCAACAACCAGCACACCCAGGGTACCTTGCATGTCGTATGTGAACGTGGAAAGTCCATGACCAAGCGCGTCAGTATGTGACGAGGTCACAGTGAGAACGTGTTGAATATGTGCGTAATGTGTGTGTTGAATGCAGGACTTTTACTTGTAACAGAGTATTTCTGCACGGTGGTATCACTGCTTTTACTTTAGTAAAATTTCTGAGTACTTCTGCCACACTGCATAAAAGTGGGAATAGTCTGCCTCCTCCTCCTCCTCCTGCTGTGTGTCATTAATCACCTCTCATACCTTCCACCGCTCTATTTTAAACCTGCACCGCGAAGCTCAGAGAGCAGCAGAGAGCTGAGGGTCCGGAGCTGCTTCCTTCACCCTGCTGTCTGTCTGTCCTGATCTGATCTGGAGACTTCTTCCTGCACCTGTATTCTCCGTTGTTGTCATCATGTGATCATTTCTAGAAACATTTAATTTGATCTGGATTTTGACTTTGCACCAGGATTTTTGTGGAGATGTGGAGTCCTCATCAAACAAAGATCCTCAGTTAGAGCAGGTAAGATTCACCAGCTGGGTTTTCCTCATCATGACTCTGAGGAAGCTTTAATTTGTAATCTCTCACTTAATGGTACAAACTGTGGTGTCAATGTTGAATGTGCATGGTTGGAAGCTGTAACTCAGTGCAGAAAATATGACATCTCTGATCATTAAGCCCACTAATAATCATATTTGTGACATGGTTAGAAATCAGTTACAAGGATTTAACTAATTTTATTGGATGTTAAAAAGTCTCAGCAGCAGGAAACATTAATAAAAACATCCTGCAGAAACTAAACTCATTTAAAGACATGACAGAACTTATCATTAGATGTTAACCTAAAAAATTACAGAGGGCAAAAATAATGAAACAAAACACTGCAAAACATCTTTGGATAATAATGAGCACAGGAGTCGTCTTGTCATTGAGAGACTCTGAATGTAAAAGTTTTATTAAATCTTTTCTTTTTTAAAACTGTTTTAGTCATTTAAGTCCAATAAACTTTAAGAGCTTTACACAGAGGCTGTTTAATTATATTGAAAACATGTACATACATGAATAAATCATGTAGATCCTCGAGCTATGACCTTTAATCAGACCATATACCTTTTTCTTTGTTTTCTTTATTCATCACATGTTAAAATATGCACACGTATGCTGATATTTTAATGAGTAACAGCACAATCTCACAATGAGAGACAGTTAAGTGGTTTCATGCTGAATGTAATCAAATCATCAATCATTCTCAGCAGAAAACTCCACAAAGCTTCCTCGTACAAAGAGTTGCTCCTGCTGACGAGATTCTTAGAAAATACTTAGAATTGTGCCATTTTCTTAGAATTTTCCCTTAAAGTTAAGATTAGCCCCTTGTGAAGATGAAAGTCATCTTAGCCCTTAAAAAAGCTCCTAAGGTGAAAAACTGTCAGGAGCAGGGAGGAGAAAGCTTAAGAATTTCTTAATAAGGGGAGAAAATGGTGGAAACACAAAGAGGTCGGAGGAATATTCTCAAAACACTGGATGACAGTGAGTAAATGAAACGCTACAGATTAGATCGTGTGAGGATAATATGTGTGGTCGATCTCATTAGGGACATGCACACATTTCCCACCTAAAACTATAACACCAGTCTGTCTCAACCTTCCATCAGCAGTGATCACACTAACAATGACAACACTTTCACAGTCAGCAGGTCATTTCATTTCCACTGGGGTCCTGTCCAAATACCCACACTTGCGCTCTGAGGTCTTCCCTGAAGTGCACTTGCCGAAAGTGCAGTTAGGGGCGTAAGTGCGCAAGGGACCGACGCTGTTTAAAAAGGAGAATTGGGACAGTTGTGTACACGTCACTTCCGTTTGGGTCCAGCTGGTCCGTCTCCTAGGAGACGAAACATGGCGTAAGAGGAAATAACGTTGTTAACAGCAATGATGCTGCAAATGATAAAAAGATACAATCAGCGAATGATGAGGAGGATTAGGAGCCACAGGAGAAGGCGGCATCTACATCAGATCCAAGTATTGATGCTGATGCCCAACCAACAGGTAAATTAAATTAAATTTTACTCTTGAATTTACCTGTTAATAATGTGTATATTAGCTGTAACGTCTTTTTTTTACTCTACCGTTAACGTAGCCTAGATTACCGTCATTCCTATTAAAATGTTTTTTTGCTTGGATAAATTGTGGAAAATTGTGATATAAAATAAACTACAAAGACATACGGTAATAAAATA